GTAGAAGCTATGAAAAGTCTTCATTTATTACTTAGAATGGATGGTATTATTGAAACTAAGTAAATATTTATTATTGATTTATTATAATTTTAAAATATCATGGGCTGAGCATGTAGATCAGCAGCACAGCCCCTGCCTGGCAAGTGCAAGGCCCTGAGTTCAATTCCTGGTACCAATAAAAAAAGAAGAAGAAGAAGAAAGAAAGAAAAAAAAAAGGACAAAGATAAATTCCTTAATTTTAAAATATCATGCAACAAGGTTAACAAGAATACTGAGATTTAACCTGCTTGTCTGTTGTATAAAAATAGCCAATAAAATAAACAAAGAAAAAAAATACAGATATTGACTTGCAGGAAAAACCCAACTTGTAGCTTTTCTCTTGTTAGAGAGAGAAGAGTAAAATATGAGTTCAAAGTTCTGGCTTTTCTAGGGAATCGCAGAAGGACAGATTTCAGTCTCACCTTAAAAAACAAAGGGAATTCTGTCATGTGTTACAACACAGATAAATCTTGATGACATGCTAAGTGAAGTAAATCAGTCACAGAAAGACAAATAATGCCTGATTCCATTTACATGAGACATTTTAATCATCTCAAGTTTTTTGAGGAAGAAAATAAAATGATAGTTTCAAGTGGTTGCAAGACAGAGGAAATGGGAAGATGCCCTTTGATGAGTGTAATGCTTCACTTATGAAAGATAGAAAAATTCTAGAGCTATGCTGTGCAACTCTGAACTTATACTTATCAATAATGTAATCCCCTCAAATATTTGTTAAGATGTAATTTGCATTTTATTGTAAATGTTTTTGCCATAATGTTTAAAATGTTTTAGAAAAGATATTCTAAATCGAGTCAGACTATGGGGCATTAAATACATCTACATATTATTACTCACAACAACATAATAAAAACTATCATATATGATACAGAGAGTCATATGGAGAATAGAGAAGTGAATAAAATTTTCTAAATCAATGTGAAGTTTTGGAAACTGAGGCAGTACTTCAGTCAAAAAGTAAAGAATGTGAGAAAGGTCAAGCACCATAGAGAGAGGCTTTGTGTGGGGAGGGCGGAGGGGTTGGGAAGAATTAGAAGTGAAGAGAAAATAGGAGGAAAAAGATTTATATTCATATCATATCAGGACTACTCCAAAATAGTCATCAAACAGACTGTAACTTTCTGATCTATTTTATTTGCATGCACTTCACATTATATGTAGTGTGCTACATATATTTGATATTCAAAATACTCATTTAATAAAGCAATGAAAACATATGATCAGATTTGCACTTTGGAAGTTGTATTTATTAGGGGTTTCTGGAGGAACAGAATCAATAGAAAATATATGTGCAATTATGTGTGGAATTTGTTAGGTAATTTACACAATCAGAGGTGGAAGAGTACTGGAGATCCCTGCAGTTGGTTCCAGTCTTCTGCCTGGGTTATGGCACACATGGGAAAGGAAAGGAAGGACAAGAAACAACAATAGAGGTCCATAACAGGGACCTGGGATGATCAGTTTCTCTCTAGGAACAAAAGGCCCCAAATGTCCGGCTAGTCACCATTTTATTAGCCAGGGAGTGGGTAGGGTGTCTTTCCTGGAACAATGTAGAAGCAGTGATAGAATGGGAAGACTCTGCAGCAGGACCCACCTGCTGTGCAGGCTGATTTGCCACTTGGGGCATGTGATCTTACAGATCCAGTGGTACTTGAGGTGTCAGTGAAGGTAGGGATGCCACTTGGAATCTCTGGCCGGACACCATAGATAAGTAATAGTGACGGCCTGTAGGATTTTGCAGCAGGTCTCATCATTTCCCAAGATCCATCTGAGTTCTCAGGGCAAAGGGAAGTTAAATGGGGAAAGGGTGGGAATCACCACCCTTGCATCTTTCATGTCCTTCATGATGGCATTAATCTCTGCAGTCCCTCCAGGGAAGTAATAGTGTGTTCAATTTAGTATTTTCTGGCTAACTGAAAATCTGTTGTTTCTATTTGGCCTTTCTCACCATACTATTTTTTTCACCACAGATTGGGGAACCATTGTGGTGATTCTGCAAAGTAGTAATTCTGTGTATCTCATTTTAGGCATAAAGGAACTTGGAAAATGAGTATGGGATGGGTTGTAGGACCTCGTGTACCCACTGTGAGTCAGACGTTGGTTAAAACTCCACTGATCATCTGATGTCCATAGCCCCCGAATTTTAATGGAGGACCACAGTGATGTTTCAGGCATCCTGGAATCAGCATTAATTTAGAACCAGTGTCAGTAGTTCCAGAAATTTCTGATATCTCCCCCTCCCCCTGTTTACCCTGGTAAAAGGCCACAGGCTACTCTGGGGAAAGACGGCAGTATAACTTCTTGGTAGCACACCAGGTTTCCTCCACAAGGGTTCGTAACTTTCCCTTCATTCATACAGCTATGGGGCTCAAATCAGGAAACCAATTGAGGGGCCATAATTATCTATTATTATGATTTGAAGCAGAGTTGTGTTTATTTGTCTTAATTTTTTTCTTTTTATATGAATCCAATAAAATTTAGTACACTTCCTATATATTTCACTTCTGGGAACATCATGACTAATTACCCAATTATGTAGGTTTACCATGTCAGGCCATTCTGGTCACTGCTTTGCTTCTGCTGCCCATTATATTAAGTATTCCCACCTTGTTTTTGGCATTTGGGTGCTACCATTTGTCCCTGCCACCGTGGGATCTAATTATACCCATTATATTTAAATTTCTCAATTGGGTGGCTGTGGTTTTCACTTTAAGTTCTGTCATACAAAGTAAAGCATTATCAGAGATTTTCTTCTCTTCACAAATCTTTCCCTTAAGATGCTTATGGAGGGTGGGATCTGATTATACCCATTATATTTAAATTTCTCAATTGAGTGACTGTGGTTTCCACTTTAAGTTCTGTCATACAAAGTAAAGCATTGTCAGAGATTTTCTTCTCTTCATAAATCTTTCCCTTAAGATGCTTATGGAGGGTACATTTTCTGTACCCTCCCCAATGAGGATTAGGCAAATCCACTCCAGCATTTCAATTTCCATGAGTTCATCAAAATAAGCCATCAAAACTAAGCCAAGGTATATCTGGCAACTTCAGCTCAATCATAGTGGGTTATCTTTGATAATTTTTTTTATTTAACCAAACAAATAAATCACTAGTACCTCTTTAACTCAACGAGCTGTGACATTAAATGTGGAGCCTCTACTTAGGAGGCCCATATCAAGAAATTGAGCTGGAGCTAGGTTTGTTTCTTCTTCCAATGCCTCACATGCTTGAAAATCCATTCCCATGCCTGTCCCCTGCCTCTCCTCTTAACAATTAGAAAATTCAAGAAATTCGTTGGGAGTGCAATACACATCCTCAAGTGTCATAGTATGTATCTCAGCTCTAGACACCATTTGAGACGTCAGCACATTTATAAGCCCAGCATAAAAAATGAATGATGAGGATGGACACTGAGGAGCATTATCATTGCTGTGCTTGTGAACTGTGTCAGAGAAGTTCATTACTGTTTTTATAGGCAACATGGGGTTAATTCATTCAGGCAGAGGTGGGAAAGCTAATACCGCATGCTGCAGGGCTGGAGGTGCCCTTGCATTGATGTAGGGAAAAACTGTTCTTCTGGCCAAATAATCTCTTTGAAATTTGGGAGTTTATGCTCCTAGCCCTCTCAAGTTCCTCCCAAACATCTCAGTGCTTTACAAGGTCCCATTATTTTCCAGTCCTTTTCATCCTTGAATTGCAGATACTCTTTGAGATTGAATATTAAACTTATGCTGTAATTCAGCCAGTTGGATTATAAAGGCTTACGTTTGGTTTTGGCAACTTCATCCCTAAAGAATTAAAATTAAGTATAGAAACATCTTCTTCATTCATAACACAGAGTGGTTGCCTTCTTCTAAAGATTGGATGTTGGACTGCCATAGCAGGACATCCTGACATGAGCAGAAACTCCCTGTGAGCCTGTTCAGCTCCCAACAACAGTTTCCTGTACATCTAGAAGATGCAGATGATTTTTCCCACACACACTTGGCCAGTTTTTAGAGGCTACAAATTCTCTGCTTCTGGTCACCCACAAATTTGGGATACTACCACTTTTATGTCAACTGCTACTTAAGGGTCTTCACTGGTAGGTGGACTTTGGAGTCCCATGTAAGGACAGGACACTCTTACAAGTGCTTTTTCAGTTGGAACCCTGAAAGCCATATACTAGGACTCCCTGGATTTGGAGTTGGAATTTCAGGTCTCGAGGTGTTTCTAGTCTGGCGATGTAACTTTCTTTCTGTACTTTCTCTTCTTTCTGTGTAACATGTATATGTCAATTCTTAAACTTTGTTTTATTGTTTTTATCTTGGTGTTATTTTTTGTTGTTTGCAAATGTAGACCTCTAAATTAAGTAGCTGCAACTGTGACCTCTGAAAGTCTACAAGCCCAATGTTAGAAAAGAGAAGATTCTCCTTCAGAATACACTTAAAAGCCTATAGACTCTTTATGCATGTTTGAAGTGGGAACGTGAATTTTGAGCTCATCAGTTTACTTTAGCAGTTTTTCCATATATGCTAAGAGCAATCAGTCATCATTCTACTTCTTCCTCTTTCAAAAAGTCATAAAACTCCTTGCATCTCCAAAATGCCAAATTAGGATAACAAAATTAATCTACATTATATATTCTTTTAAACAGTTAGAGGGGCTGGGGATTTAGCTCAGTGGCACAGTGCTTGCCTGGCAATCACAAGGTCGTGAGTTCGATTCATGGTACCAGAAGAAAAACAGAAAAAATAAATAAATAAACAGTTCACACTATGGCCTATCACTACTCTTCACATTACCAGAAGGTAACCATAGGTACCATTCAATTAGAGAACCACCTGAAAAGCCACTACACTGATTAGGGAAATTCAACCTTACAATCTCTTTCTCTGGAACCACTCTCAGTACTATGATCTGTCATAGGCTTCTCCAAAAGCACAGAATCAACAGAAAACATGTTTCATTGCATGAGGTTGTTTACTAAGTAGGTTTACAGCATCAGAGGTGGGAGAGTTTGCATGACTAGTTGTGTGCTAGAGAATCAAAGGATATCATAACTGCACAGACAAGAAGGTGGAAGTCACAGAATAGGAAGGATGAAAGACGCAGTCCAAGGCAAAGGCTTGGAGCTCACTGCAGGGTTTCTTTTACAGGAAAGTATTTGAAGGCTGAAGAGACTGCAGACCTGGAGACTGAGGTCCAAAGATGATGGCAGCAAAGGACACACCTTCCAAGAAAAAGCCCGGTGTTCTTCCATGTGTGCACACTTCCTTTTCCTTTCGTTTTTAATTCAGTCCCTGCTACAAGCCCATTGAGTGGTGCCACCCACAGTCGTGGTGGATCTTTGGCTGCTGGTTTGCTGGTGTACATATTAATCACCTACAGTCACTCAAAATTGTGTTTTACTAATTTGCTAAGTACTTCTTACTCCAATCAAGTGGACATATCATAATTAAGAGTCATAGAAACTCAAATTATACTTGGGAAAAGGGGCTATACACAGTTCTCCTACTAACTTGAGTAGTTTTCCTTCTTACATTTGAAAAACAGCAATTACATTGCCATATATATTCAAGCAGCACACCTTACATCTGTTAAGGGTAGCGTATGCATCTATGCCTATAGAATTTGCATATGTAAGTATAAAATGTATTTATGCTATTGGCATAGAAGTATTGGGATCATACATTTATATAGTTTCTTTTGTTGACAATTTTATTTTCAATGTCAAAATGTTTTTAATACTCTATATTAAATACTCTACATTAGTGAATTTGGGCCAAGAAAGTAAAAATACGCGCTCGCAGTGTATACCTACTGACTTCTTGCATAAAAGTTTAGATGTTAATGGTTCCTAAACTGACTTATTTTGCCTACCAACAAGGCAGAGTGTATTAATTTGATGAAAAATCCCTTAGACTGGGAACAGAAGGTCCAACAAAAGCACAGGCTGCATTAACAGTTGGATGGACATTAGCCATGGCATATTTGTCCTTGATGGTCAATGATAATAGCCAGTGAGCTGATTTCTCTAGAAGTGTGAAAATACTTGGAAAACCAAAAGTGTGTGTCCTGCTGCTCATAGATGAAAGCTGTGTTGAGTTTTCAGTTGCTGAAAGTTCAATCAATGACGCATATCTCCACATATGCCATTCCTTGAGAAAATGTAGACTGTCATACTGTTTTACACCAATTCAATTGACGTGCTGCTGTTTCCCGCCACTACACAGCTGTACCAAAGGTTTTGCATGTTGTGTCCTGAGCTGCAAGTATAAATTTAAAAGTAGACAATTTTTAAATAGAGCAACAAATGTGACTTCCAGAGAAACTGTTTAAGAATAGAGTATATATTACTAGAAGAGATCACAAATTATAAACAAATGCTTTCATTTTATAAATAGGAAAATATCTTTATACAATTTAAATTCACTGTCAAAAATTGGTAGGTCATACAGTGGCATTCTTTTCAATATATAATTTTAGTACAATATCCTAATAATACTGCTTTCTCTCTCCTTCACTTTTACTTTCCTATCTTTACTTCCTTTTATTTATATAACAAGTTACTCATTAATTCACTTAAATCCTAAAATCTAGCATGGTCTAGTGTTACTGCAAATTTCTCATGATGTACAAATATGTTATAACCAGAGCTATATTATTAACAACTAAGGTTTCAGAAGTGCATGCTAAGATTCATTTTCCCTATACCTCCTCCTCAAGTGCAATTTTATAATCTGGAAATTATTTAACAAGCAACAGTACAAGGACTCTGAGAGCCGAAACAAAGAAGGAAGTTAAACTAGCAAATACAGGACTCGAGAAATCATGTTGTGAGTTCTCTGAGTTTTCTTTTTATCTTTCACACAGTCCAGGTACTGAGGAGGCCTGCAAGAAAGAACAACCAATAGATATAGAAGAGAAAAAAAGAAAAACAAATCCAAACAAAGGGAAATAAACGATCCTCCCTTCATGGCCAAAGTCCTGAGAAAGTACAACCTCAGCAGTGAAAGCACTTTACAAAAGGAGCCTATTCAGAGTCACACTAAAAGCAATTTCAAAAATAAATTATCATCCTTCTTTATTCTATAATTCAGATCAGGTGGGCAGAGTGATTTTCCACAAGATGCAGAAACAAAGCACTTACTATTCTATCCCTCAAATCGTGGAACCACAGTCTAAAGAGTGATTTAATCACCTCACAGCTAAAGAAGTAGTTAAAAGCCTGTGTCTCCTTATTCCCTGGCTTCCACCAAGTGACCTATGTAGACTGAGGTCTTTTGGTTTCTTGGCTCACATCAAAAGATTATTCCTATGACTCCCACAGGTGACACCAACTTGGACTGAGCTGGAGCTTCACTCCCAACCAAAGTCAAAAAGACCAGATTAATACTGCAAGGGTTCAGAAACTAAATTTCATGAAAATTAAATTTCACAGAGGTACATTAGAACTTCTGCATTACACTTCACAGGACACATCACAGGAGACATCAGCACAGATCATAGCGATGTGAAAAGATTTTTTTTAAATTACAAAAATAATATAACTCCATGGTAAAAATTCTGACAACTAAAAGAAACAGAGGAAATCCTTGGAGGAAATGAATTATTAAAACAGACTAATGAAGAAATAGACTAGATATGTGCAACTACTATAACAAAGTGTAACTGTAAAATCTCAAGTAGCACATTTTTAATTGGAGGGTTATTTTCATGAATTTAATCTTTCAAAATTATTAAAATAATCAGTTTTAGAACTTTCTTGATAGATTTAATGCAACCCAAATCCTAATTTGACAATGTCTGTTGTAGAAAGTCATAAGTCAAATACAAAATTTAAATAGAAATGTGAAGGAATGATGGAGACCACTATGAAGTGGCTCTGAGCAGGATTTACAATTAATCAGTTGGCTTTCTATATTTACTTACGTGTCTGTCCCAGGCCTATGTGACTTAATCAAAGAACAATGGCTGGCATGCAGTCAGTGCAGTTCTCCACGCCATGGTTAGAGTAGAGGCCTGTACTGGTCCATGACATTGACATCTCAGAGGGCAAGCTAAAGCTGCAGCTGAGAACACCTGGCTCTCACTCCAGTTCTTAAGATTCCAGCTGAAGCCATTTGGTTCCTGCTGTAAATGTCAACCTTAGAGATAGGACAGTTTTCTTAACGGGCAAAATTTACTGCTTGGAGAAGCTTTTGATCTTCCATGGTCCTGCTCAGTTTCCCACCTTTACCTCTGCTATCCCTTTCTTTTGTTTGAAAACCCAATAAATATGTGTGCTCCAGAGAAGCCTTTGTCTTAGCTCCTACAGAGTTCTGACCTTCCGGGGCTCCCCAAAATCATATTACTTATCTCTTATTTAAGCCTCCACCATAACTCATTTTAGGAGACTGGGGGTTAGGCCAAGTCCCTAATAAAGAATCAAAATTAGCCTTCCAAATTTTGAAAATAAAATTCATGGATTTATACCAACTGATAAATATGAATATAAAACTACAGTAATTAAAACTGTAGTATTGGTACAAACCTCAAAATTAGATAAATAAAATTAAAAGTTCAAAAATAGACTCATATATAGTCAAATATATATGACTACAGTTGACTATATGACTATATATATGACTATATATGACATGTATAGTTGTATAGTTTTAATTTTGCCTAAAATGTCAAATGAATTCAAAGATAAACCTTCAAAAATTTAACAAATAGAGCTGCAAAACTGGATAACAATATTAAAAATAATATGAATTTCAACTTTTACATCATTCCATATTGAAAAATATACTTGAAATTGACCATAGTATTAAATCAAGGAGAGGGAAGCACAAACTTTCCAGTAGAAACATTTGAGAAAAAAAATCTTAGAGTCCTTGATTTAATAAATATTTGCATGATGAGATGATCAAATTAAACTTTAATATATTAGAAACCAACTTTTTGAAAAAATTGTTCTTTGTAAGGCAGTATTAAGAAAAAAATGTTAGAGAGAGATGAAGAAAAAATTATTTTAGAACATACATGTAACAAAGATTTTCTGTGCAGAATACATTAAGAACATTTATAACTCAAAAATAGAAAATCAACTTTCACTTTAAAAATCCAAAGGTTTTGATAAGACATTTTACAAAGGAGGTCTCACTACATCCTTTATCTCCCCTTCATGATCTCTAAAGTATCATGCTGAGACTGTTCCCTCAAGAAGGCCCATATTTAGATACTGTAATCAACTCTTGGAAAATCACAAATCATTAGTAGAAGTAAGGAGTGATGCTCAATCTTACTAGCGACCCTAGTAATGTACTAAAAATAATGAAATAAAATAGACAAATTTTAATGAGTAGGGGATTTTTAATATAATTAACTTGATTTAAAATTTTAACAGAAAATAAGTATCTTTAAATAGCTTCATAAAAATTTCATTTCTAGATATTTAAAACTGGCAAAAGAATTTACAAAAATAGGTAATCACTACTTTCATAATACCACAGTAGTTGCTGACAGCAAAATAATGAAATCCAATTCTACAATCACCATTAACTTTTTAGTTTTACTTACACTGAAAACTAAAACTGTCCAAAATATATTCGATTTGAATATAGGCCATTTAAGGTTATATAAAGACACATATAAAGTGGAAAGGCCAACAAATACCTACATTTAAAAAAATCTATTTTTAACGGAATAATGAACTTATGTGATGATTCATAATTTATGTTTTCCATGATCATTGTTTCTGAAAGGATTAGTGATCTTTAGACCAATATTGCAAAATTACAAAGTATATGGATAGAAATAAACTGGGAGGCGGATGCCCTATATCATGTCCTCATTTTTTTTCCAAACCATTCAGTTGGTACACCCACAGAAAATGCACTGGGGATAAAACTTGATGGCTAATGAATGGTAAAACCAAATCAACTTAACGTTTACCTTTAACTTTGAAGAGCAACATATACTTCTTATTGCCGTGCAATGGAAAGACTTGTACATGTATGGCAAAATTATGTCCAATGAATTCAAAGATAAACCTTCAAAAATTTAACAAATAGTGCTGCAAAACTGGATAACAATATTAAAAATAATATGAAGAGAGGTTTACTGGGGAAAAAAAATTCCAGAAAATTAGACTGAAGCAATGAGAGCAACCTGAACACGATTATAAATGTAACAGATACGTAAAAATTAGTCTAAGCCTTAAAAATAATACTTTTTGCTTACAGGCTTTCATCACGGTGTTTTGGTTCATTACTATCAGAAAACAAAGTAAGAGGCTGGAGGGTAAGATTGTGATTAGAAAAGATTCAATTGCTTTTCATGGGTATTTGCTTCTAGTCCGGCATCCTTTCTCATGAGGGCTTTGCAATTTAGTTCAGATGGTCCCCGTCCAAATTGCATGGATGCGGAGCATTGTTAGAGGAATGACAGACTAAATAGGGAACTGAATAGTAAGCAGTGCAAGTTAGAACCTATCCATCTGGAACTAGCAAACTAAGGCAAGAATTGCCTTATGATCTGCAATTTAGATGCTAAACATGAAGTTCCTTCTTAAAACAAAACATAGTATTTTGATCTGAAATTCCAGGAAAGCACAAATGTAGCTAACACCATGCTAACCTGGACTCTATCTCAGTTCATGGAAGAGCAGTAATAGCTTCTGGAGCTAAATGTTATGCATCTGGAATGGTATTTATTGTTTCACTGAAACACAAAAGTAGAATTTTAAGTTTATTGATCAAATTGACATTGAGAAAGAGTGACAGGAAATTGTAAAAATTAAGGATTACACATAATACTAAACATTAGTAGGTTGCAAGAGAGATTTACTGGGGAAAAAAAAAACCACTGTATTCTTTATTTTATCCATTTAATCCTTTACTAAGTAAAGGCATAGCAGATTACTCACAGATCATTTCTGCAGTTATTCATATGTTGACTATTACTCCACTGAAGTACATTTTCATAGTACTTCAGTACTGTGGTTGGTTCTACCTTTAGCTCTTGTGAATAATGCTGCTAATGGCACTTGGTACAGTTTTTGAGGGCTGTTTTCAGTGATTTTGGGTATATATCCAGCAGTGAAATTGTGGCTAATATGCTAAGTTTAACAATATTTCCTAAAGTATATGTAGCATTTTACAGATCCCACCAGTAGCATGAGTATTCCTTTTTCCACATCCTTATAACTACGGATGATCTTTCTCGTTATAGTGTTGTTTATCTTTTTCAACATATGGGATATAGGTACAACTGTTTAATGTCCTTGTCTGTAGATTCCAGTACTTATTTCAGTTCTCATCAGCATCTCATTTTTCTCCTTTTTTCATTTAAGCGACCTTTGTATTTACTGAAAGACTGCTACTACAAATTGTATTTTGCAAGTCTGTGATTTTTAAAAAATCTCTATGAATTTGGTCTGTCACCTTTTTCAGTGACTCCTTAAGTCTGATCCTTGTGGATCTTGTTTTTAAGAATTTAGATGGCACTAAAGCAGCTGTCAGCCCAGGGCTAATTGTCAGTACCACAGCAAGACTCAGAGTAGAACACCCAATGCCCATTGATTAAGTTTTCATGTGGGAAATTTTCTCAAAGTCCCTTAGCTAAATATCCAAAAACAAAAATAAAAACAGAAAGCCCTGCAGAACTCCGACTTTTCTCTCTGATCAGCGGTCTCCTTTCTCCTGAACTCTGCACACAGCATTGCCGCCCCAGGATTCCAGTTTTATCTCTTCTTCCTCTACCGGAGGAATTCCGCCGGGCTCCGCTTGCTTGGGCTCTCTCTCCTTAGGTCGCATCTTTTAAACATCTCCAAAATCAGTAGGGCTTTTATAACCTCAAGATCAATATTCTCCTTCATCTTGAAAGGCGCAGCTTTATTTCTACAGCACCAGTCGTGGGAACATTACCTCCTCTGCAATCTGAACTCCAGGCCGTCCTCCCCTTTTCTTCAGGTAATGAGAAAACAGGAAGGGGCACACGCGCAGAGCGGAGTTCACATCTCGCTTCCGGCTTACAGCAGGGTCTCCGAGCTGCTGCGCACCTTCGCGCGCGCCTGCCACACCCTCCCCAAACTGCGCCTGCGTCAAGCGCGGGCAGCGAGTCCGCAACCACCAATGAGAGTGCAGGGCGTTCCTTAACCCCCGCCCGCGGAGCCGGCAGCCAATCGCCGGCCGGGGCGCGAAGGCTCGGTTGAATCCAAAACAGAAAGTACCCGAGGGCGGCGCCGTGATGGAGGCGGCGGAGACCGAAGCTGAGGCGGCCGCGCAAGCGTGAGTGTTCGTTACCCGGAGGTAGCTGAGGGCCGGCCGCGGGCGGGTTTGCTGTCCACTGTCGTGTGACGTGTGATGCTTTCGACCGCTAACAGCTTTCAACCCCTTCGTGAGTGGATTCTGACCCCAGCCGTGGGTCCCGAGCCGACCCGCGGCGCGCCTTGTGCGGTGCTAGACTGCTGTCTCCCACGAGGAAAGCGCGGAGACCCGAGCCCAAGGCCTCTGCCCTGTGCCCCGCCCTGCCCTAGGTTCTCAGGACCCCGCCCGGAGACCAGAGCTTCCTGCCAGGCGGGCGCCCAGGCCTCCTCAGCGTTTTGCCCTTATTTTTACCTTGCAAGACCGTCTCCTAACTGCAGTCAGATCTTGATTCATACAGTTTATTCAGTGAGACATTTCCCGATTGAAATCATCAAAGCCCCTTCATAATTCCTCCTCCGCTGATTTTCCTCATGGTGCTTAATGATCAGGTGTTCTCTGCGCACAAACCAGTCCCGGGCCCCAGGCTGTGGCTTCTCAGGCCTTTGGTCAGGGTGATCACTCTCAACACTGATACGCTCGTGTTCTTCTGTGCATGTGCCCCTGGGAAGCGTCAGTCTCCTTTCTTTCCTTGCCCCTCCAGGGTCCTGGCCGAGGTGGCAAATGTTCTAGAACCTGTAGGCCTACAGGAAGAAGCGGAGCTGCCGGCCCAGATCCTGGCTGAATTTGTGAGGGTATGTACAATATGAGAGCTGGCTTCTCAGAAGTGCAGGGGTGGTTTTGAGACCTTCTTTGGAGATGGAGGACAGCAGTGATGAAGAACAAGGTGGAAGGCATCTTCTTGGCTTGTGGCACAAGGAGTTGAAGATATCTCTACCTCTTTCCTCTCTGAATAGAACTCTCGGAAGAAAGACAAGCTACTCTGTAGCCAGCTTCAAATAGCAGATTTTTTACAAAATTTTCTGGCTCAAGAGGACACTGCTCAGGGCCTGGACCCCTTGGCTTCTGAAGATACAAGCCGTGAGTCAGCTGGGAATTGGGAGTAGGGCTGGCCTAAAGGGGCAAGGAGGGAGGATGTCAGTTAGGTCTACTTTCCGGCTGTTGGGAAGACTGAGGCCTAGTGTTTCAGGGAGACAGCTACAGGGCCACCACCCTCATCCTTTCATTCTTCATGGCTCGTTTTAGGACAAAAGGCAATTGCAGCAAAGGAGCAATGGAAGGACCTTAAGGCCATTTACCAGGAACATGTGGAGGCCATAAGAAGTACCCTGACTGAGGCCCTGCCCCAAGTGGAAGAGGCCCAGCAGAAGCGTGTGGAACTTCAGGACGCCATTGAGCAGCTCCAGGCCAAGGTACCCCTAGGAAACTTGAGAGAGGGAAAGACAGGAAAAGAGGGTACATTGAAAAGATAGGTAGGCTGGGAAGGACCCACTTACTACCAAAACTTTAACCTGAAAAGATAAACTAATTTTCTACTGAACCTGTCTCCCTTACTAACTGCAGAAACAAGTGGCCATGGAGAAATTCAAAGTAGCCCAGAAGCAGTGGCAGCTACAACAGGTAGGTCTTTCCTTTTCTCTAGACTTCTATTCCTACTTGAATGGGCGAGGTCCCCCTTTCCATCCATGAACCTGAAGCCCCAGCAAGATCTAGGTTGGAGGAGTTGGGGGAAAGTGGCTTTAAGATGTCAGTATTTGATGAAATCCCTCTGCACTCCCTAGGAAAAGCACCTGCAGGGTCTGGCAAAGGTTTCTGCAGAGGTCAAAGAGCGTCAGACTGGAATTCAGCAGAAGCTTGAGCGGCTGTATCAAGAACTTGGAGTCCTGAAACAGCGGGCAATCCAGGAGCAGGATAAATTGCAGAGGTGAGGTTGCGAGCAGAGATGTGAGATGCAGCTTGTCTACCTAATATTTCCTCCCTTGACATTTCCTTCCTCTTTCCAGGCATCAGACCTTCCTTCAGCTACTGTATACCCTGCAGGGGAAGCCGCTCCCTGAGGCTGAAGGCCATGTTAGCCCAGAAGCTGCCTCTCTACCTGGATCTTCTTAAGGGTAAGCCCCAACAGCTGACTCAGAACACTGGAGAGAGACTGAGTGAGAGATACAAGAGCCGGGTAGTCAAGTGGAGAGAGAGCTGGGAACTTGACCTCACCCACTGTCCACAATGTACTTCTCCAAGGCCAAAGACCCACAACCTATGGTAGATGTGAACTTGCTGTGGTTTCCTGGAGGAAAATAGCATGGATAAGAAGGATCCTAGAGGAGGTGTCTTCTAGGTGTCAGCCTAGGCTTTGGTGTCCCTAAATTGTGGTAAAGGTGTTGGAGGTAGGAAAAACCTGTGGTCTACTTCTGCCTGCATTCGAGCTCCTCTGCACATTGAGGGGGTGGGAAGTGGGCAGGAAGAAAAACCTTACAATATGGATGAATCTTAGTGCTTCAGGCCCATCCCAGGTGCACCAAGGCTCACCCCTCTTCCTTTTTCTCAGCAGAATAGATTGTGAAATCTCGAGTACAACCTGATTTCTGACCTTGACCGGGTTGGGGGGACTCTCATTCAAACACTCTGGTTCTCTGTTACCTGTTTGTTGGTCTTCATGTGTTGATAGGAAGGACTAAGGACATACAAAGACTATTAACACTTCAGGATCTGGAAGTGGTGTGATTAGAGACCATGAAGATAGCCAGGGTTCTCAGGAATTGCTTTGCCAAATTCCTATGCAGCAAACATGTTAGTTCTAGTAAAATATGCAAGTGATTATATGTAAAAGGTAATTGTGTTTGCTGATGGAAATATTTGTACAATCCCTGCTTTGTGCTAAGAGCCTTTGCTCTGAACTGGAGGAACTGTACCAACAAGCTTATCCTGTTTGAGGTTGGCCTAGCAGTACATATCTGATATTTTTGTATATACTTCACTTGATCAGTCTTTTCAGGTATTCATTCGTTTTAGATTTAAATATAAGTTTTGTGATCCACTGTTGTATATGGTTTCATTGATTTCAGTGATATCTTCATCATTTCTTCCCTTCTAATTATGAATGGAAAAGTGCTATTTTTATAATTTCTTATTTTTGGAAGATAAGAATACCTTAGTTTTGGATCCTTGTTTTTTCAAATAAACACTCAAGGTTATGAATTTCTTGCCTGCCTTTGTGTATTTTTACAATCGTTCAGTTCATGGCATTGTTTATTATGTGTTATATTTTTTTTTGTTTCAAGGTTTTCTTTTAAAAAATAATTTTAAAGTTTTCTGCTGTATGTTTGTGGGAAGATAATCTTTCTTAGTTTAATTTAGTTAGAGAATGTTCTCTATATTAAATTTATGAGTTTAACAAGGGAAGCAATTATAGCCTTGATGTGGTCTTTCACTTTTTACTTTGGTTTGGAGCAAATGTATATTTTATAGTAGTGTGTAATATTCTGCATATCTCATAGATTGTGTTTTGTTTTTTTGGTTTTCTTTTTTCAGATTATGTCTTCTATTATTTTTTATGATCTGAGTGGTATATTCTGAGAGGGCTGTGTTCAACTGTAGCTGTTATAGTGCATTTGTTTATTTTTCTACATTACTTTTATATATTTAACATATTTTTACATATTTTTTTAACAGCTGCTTTAAGTAGATATTATTTGTTTACATTTGTATCTTTTGAATACAACCTTTACTGTTGTGTGGTTGTCTTCTTCATCTGTAGGCTGTCTTTAGACTTGAAATCGGAATATTAATATAATTTGCCAACTCTTCTTTTTTGCCTTTTTCTAGCATATATTTCTCTTGAATTTCAGCCTCTTGACTTTCTTTATCTTTATGTTTATCATTTGTATATGGCATTTTTAAAACTCAGGTTCTCTAATATTTTTTCTTTAACAGTTTATATTTTTGTTTATATTTCATTGTTTCTTATTGATCACTTTCTTGTCTGTTTTTTTTTTATCTTTTTTGTCATTTTTTAGTCCTTTTCCTTGTTTAGAAGCTCTTCTCTGCTAGATTAGTTTTAATTCCAGAAGTTAACAGTTCGAAGTGTAAGCAATATGAATTATCTTCTTAGACAATAAATGAAACATAAAATACATTACCATTGATAGATCATCCTACTGCTAATTTATAAGATACTTTTGTCAGTTTTATTTCTAGCTTGTTCATGTTGTAAAGTTAGAGATACTGTTTTATTTAGTCAAAGCTTTAAATTTATTCATTTGCTTTCCATTTTGCCTATTTTTTTACATTTAAGACCTTTCATATGGAATAATTTCATCATATAAAACAAAAATGACTTAGAATTTTCTTTAGTTAGCATCTGTAAGCTATATGATACTCTAGTTTTTTTTTTAGTGTACAAATATATTGTTTCATCTTCATAAAAATACTTTATGTAGAAAATGATTTTCAACAGGTACTTTCTCTTAACACAGTAAAGATATTTTTTCATAACTGTCCAACTTTCATTGTTGCTGATAAGAAAACAACAGTCAGTTTAAAGTTCTTTCTCTGGTAGTTGTTTTCTCACTGGCTACATACAAAATCCTCAATATGTGGTACTCTAATTTTACTGTTATGAATAATGAATAGTTTGGGGTTTGCTTTTCCTTGAAACCAGTTGGGCTTTGTAATCTGCAATTACCGGTCCTTTAACAGTTCTAGAAGATTTTAAGCCTTAGCCCTCGCAAAAATACTTTTAATTTTTTTTTTAGAACCATCTTCTATGAAACCAGTTAGGCTTAAATTTTTTTTTTTCATTATGTCATATAAATGTTTTGTAATAATGATTTTTCACTGTAGATTAAGTTCTGATTTCTTTAAATCTATCTTGTGCTTTACATGTAGCTAGTCTATTGTTTAATCATCAGTGTCTTAATTTTGAGTTTTTATTTTTCATATAAAAAGGTTTAATGGATCCCAGTGTATTTTTGGGTTTTTATTTATTTTTTTTCTTAATTGGGGCTTAAAGCTCATATTTGATTTTATTTTTTTACCTTAAACATAGTACATGTAGATGTTTTGTTATTTTTGTTGGAAAGTTTGATACTTGATGACATTGTGGGCCTACATTACATACTTCCTGTTTTTTTGCATGATTTATGCTGTCCTTCTATGAACTTTCAGGAATACTTTTCTTGCATGGTATAAAATTGAGAAAATTAATGCTTCTTCCAGTAACTTCTGGGTACTATCAATATAACATCTAGAAATGTTAAAATATTTTCATTATTGTTCTGTTCCATTTACATTCCTGCTGCCTGTTTTCCCTCATTCTCATTAATATTTGCCAAACACTTTTCTGTTTTGGTTATCTCTCAAAAGCAAAGTCTTTGGCTTCTATGGCAGTTAGTTTATAATTTTTTTCATTTTTATTATTTTATTGTTGCCTTTTTATTCTTATTTCTTACTGTTTTTACAACCTGATTTCATTTGGTTTATTTCTTGATCTTTATTTAATTAAAAGCAATATTTTAACAATGCATATATTTCCTTTTCTAATAAAATATGTTTAGGTGCACACATTTGTATTTGATAGCCACTCAGAGAATATCTCATTTTTTAATATCCTGTTATTTTCTTAATAGATTTGTAAGTTTTAATATTGATTTTTATTTTAAAGTAAGGAAGGTTTCTTTATTGTTTTTACTTTTCAAATTTATTTGTTTGCTTCCTAAATGAATTTAAAATAATTTTCTTTATTCTTAGTACTCCAAATTTTGTGATGTACTTTACGTATTTTTGTTTCATTTCATTTTACATTAAATAATATAGGCTCTATGAATTCTTTCTTAAAATGTATTAGTTATATATATGCATTTGTGTATGTGTGGTTTTGATGTGTAATGTGATCATATGCCAGTGGTAGTGAACTTATGGGACAAAATTTTTTGTGTTTCTCTTTTACAAAAAGTAAAACCCAAAATGTATGATTAAAATATATAGCAACTTCTGTTACATCCATCTTTTCCAGAGTATTTTTCCACAGATCCAAACATTGAAAATTCTCGGGGGCTGGGGATTTAGCTCAGTGGTACAGCACCTGCCTGGCGAGCATGAGGTTGTGAGTTCAATTCCCAATACTGGGAAAAAAAAAAAAGAAAATTCTCTAACACACAGAAGCCTTCCACTTTGAGGTAGTCAGTTCAACCAGATGGTAGGAGTAGGATTCAAGAAAATAGTAAGAGAGATAAAATTTGTTCAGAATGCTATCTTATATCTCTTTCTTGAGTGTGCATATGTATGTATCTTATTCTTGTTAGGCCGTTATGAGGTGTAATCAGAAAATACAGTGAATATCTAAATTTTTTTAAAAAGTTATTGTAGTAGTGCAGTGGCAAGCAGAAACATCAAAACAATATCCAGGATTTGGAGGCAGATATATTTAACGTCAGATAGGCACTGACAGGGAACTAATTGTTTCTTAAAATGTCAGGCCTTGAAGGCTCAGGGAAGGAGGTTTTTATGGGATTTCAAAACAGGAGGTGGTACAAAGGTAAAATACTTGACTGTCTTTAATTGGTTCTTGCAATATGCATCATAGTGACCAGCTATGCATCGCAGTGACCAGCCATTTCTAGGAGACAAAAGCAACCAGAACTGCAACAGGAACTACTACCTGGGCTACTAAGAAACTGAAGTATACCGGCTAGGGCAGGCCATTTTCTGTTAGAAAGATAGTTTTCCATTATCCTTTTCAAAATATTCCTGCTTATTTCATACACTTTTTCTATTCTCAGTACTTTCTGAAGCAGTTTCTGGACATTCTCTTGAATTTGTGTCTAATGGAGCTCTTACTTCTGCCTCTGTGTCTTGTATCACTTCTAACCATTTAACTTTCATGGTATTTTAACTTTGGGAAAGAGCCAGAACTTGTACATTGTCAGGTCCAGTGAAAAAGGTAAAGAGGACACACCATAATGTTTTTACAAGTCTGCTTTGGGCGGTCCTCAGCAATAGTATTCCCCATATTTTTGATCATGTGGTAAAGGCAGTCATGAGAGCGTTTCCAGAACCGCTTTAGAAAGTGGCAGGAAAGATGATAGAGCATTCAAAGGGAAAGGTACATTTGGAGGGGGATTAATTGCAACATATCTCTTACTGTAATGCATTTTAAAAATTTTGACATTTACCATATTTTTTCGATCACCCTTTATATTGTTAACATCCTGTGTAGTTACAGCAAAGTAATCCCTTATTTTATCTGTACCACTTTAAAAGATATAGAACTGGGCCTGGGGATTTAGCTCAGCGGCACAGTGCCTGCCTGGCAAGCGCAAGGTTGTGAGTTCAATCCCCAGTACTGGAAAAAAAAAAAACAAAAATTAAAAAAAAATAAAATATATAGAACTAAGGCATTACTTCTAATATTCTACTTGGCCTGTTATTCTTTCCAGTAAGAGAAGTTGTTTTCTGCTTGTCTTTATTTCTTACAGCAATAAATTTAAACTTTTTGTAGCAGTAATGATCAATGAAGATTTTGTCTGTCCTTAAAAATAAATTCCTTTTCTTCCCTTGTCACCAGGACATACGTATGTAAAAATGAATTTGTGTGCATTATTGAGGTATTATTTTCAGATCTTAGTCTTCTAAAAGGGAATAAAACATGTATCTATAACATGTGATATTAACAATCATCACACCTGAGATGGTGCTACTGACTTTGAAAATAGAACAACTGTCTAGTTTCACATGTTGTTTAATATTTTTCCATTTTAGAGCCTTTTGTAGGATTAAAAATGGTATTTCTATCTAATAGAATGAATGTATTGAAATGTTTATGTTTCCTGTTTAAACCTCCATGTATGTTCTTTACACATAAGTTTTGAAAAACTAGTGAACTGTAAAATTAAATAAATTGATTTTTATTCATTATTATTCTTATCCCAGTCTTTAAATTACCCTTTTGATACTTAAAATATTGGACTCTGAGAAACTTAGTGTTTTGTTTTGTAATACATTAATTAACAAACAGGGTTCACCAGAACACTTCATTCCTGATACCTTAAAGAACCTAGGCATTTATTCTGCAATCAACATCTTTTATGTTTGTTTGGAGGTCTTTTTAAACTGTCATTTTTGAAGGGTATACATGCTTCTACTGTTGTTAAAATTGAGTTCATAACTGTTAAAAAAAAGTTACTAAAAAATCTTAAACTTCATGGGCCTCTACAGTATATAAAGAATAGGGTTAAAGTGTACTTTACAAGTAACCAATAAGGAATAGTTTATGTTTCATGTGTGTACTTGAAGGAAAATACTTCTTTTTGGGGAGGTAGTTCCATCCACAGTCTTTATTTGGATTCCCTTGAGCAGATACTCAAAAAATGATAGAGGAAATTTAAATAATTGACTGAAATACAGCATTATCTCTACTTGTTTCATTTGGTTGCTCCCTGAAGGTAATAGATTGCGGGGGAAAGATAAATTATTTCAAGCTTAAAAATTGCTTTAATGGTAATTGTAATGTCGTTCTTGCAGCATGCTATTTTCACAATGAGAAGAAAATAAGGAAAGAAATAGTAAATTTAGTTTAGAAATATAACTATAAATATATGTATGTGTGTACATAAATGATATATTAAAATACCACTTTCTGTTAGCAATATGATGTTCAATGTTACTTTGTAAAATTAGGTTTAAAAACTGCTAGATAATGTGTTTTGGTTTTTCTGACGAGGTGTCTAGAATAGCAAATACATACATATGAGTATGTGTGTGTGTGTGTGTATGTATGCATTTATACATATTCTAAGCTGTAAAGTCAGTTGTCTTCTCTCTTCATAATTTATTTTGCTTTATTTTTTAAGGGCTCATTTATTTCTGATGAAGACATCTGGAAGTTACAGGAATCTCATCTGACTTTGTTGTAGTACTTATTGCTGTCAAGTTTGATGTATTTTTACCTGAGTCTCCTGTTTATTTGTAAAGAAGCCAAACAGCAGCGTGATTTATTTTTAAATGTGTAAGTAGTAGTATTTACATTTAGTTTTGTCTTATAATTCAGGAGATATTTTGTGTTTTGGATTGTTTTATTAATGTGACTATATTAAAGTTTTGTGAGAACATGAACTTGTTTATTTCATGTTTTTTAAAGTCTATATAATATCTTCTACATGGGTGGTTATATGCATTTTTGTATATAATTTTATATAGTAAAAGCAAATGGAAAATTTAAACATACATCCTTTAAACATCACCGTACAGAAGTACATATCCAGATATATGGATAAAGTATCTCCATCTTTGTAACAAATCTTACAGAGGTTTCCATAAAATTTCCTATTTCAGTCCTTAATTCTTTAATTTGTAACTTCTTTAACTCCTTAAACTATTTTATAGTACCATAATATCCCTCTTGGATTGGCCCAATGTCTCATTCATTTTACTCTTCTTGTGCTATTAATAGAAAACCCAGTTCCTGATATTTTTTATGCTATGTTGGGCACTGGTTTCTTTCTCCTTTAGTGATTATTTTTGTTGAACAGCCTCTAATGGGAAAACAAAGTAAATTGTGAACTTGCTAATTCTCTTTGCTCATTTAACCTATGATATCTTAAGTTCTTTGAAGGTCAAATTTCACTTCATGAAATGACCTTTCAAAAATCCACTTGAAACTTATGGACTAATGTATTGAAGTCCTTAGTGAAGCAAGCTAGCTATTTGTAGTATATAATCAAGACAAATATCCTTTGTGTGTCCTTTGATCACAAGCATCTTTGAGCATCTGTGTCAGGGTTTTGTAATTGGAACTTAGGTAAAAGGTTGCTACAGTAAATTGTGCCAGATTCTGAATGGTTTTGATATCTATGCTGTAACTTGTTCTGTGTAAACACGTTAACACTCTCACACATCCATAGTCAGTGTTCTCATATGACAGAAGTGAAAGACGCTCCACATACATGAGCCCATTTGCCCACCACTAATTGATAGACATCCATATAAAATATCTGTACCTCCTAAAATATGTTGAAATCAACAAAATGTGCTACAGGAATATGTGAGGGAGTGTCTAATTCCATGTAAAAGCCTAAATCCAGAAAATAATCTTAAAAATGGTAGGATGTGACATAAACCTTTGTAGAGAGTATGTTTTACCAGGGAACTGTTACAGCATATTCTGAACAAAAGTAATAGTTCATAGATGATAATGAATGCTTTCAAGTACAGCAAGTAGTAATATAACTGAAAAGAAAGATGGCTGTGTGGTTGGTTGAGAACTGGATTGATTGTGGATTGATGGACAAATTAGTAAAAGGCAAAAGATATATAAGATCTGAAGAGAAACCAGAGTATTGATGGAAAAAGTAGGGCAAATAATGTCCTAAGAAGTTTGAAGATTCAGAGGCAAAGGCAAGTTCATGTTGAAACTGGCTAAACCTTTATCTGTTTTGTATTTTCAATATTGATTTGTTGCCTAGTTCATTGTCTTGTCAGCAAAAAAAAAAAAAAAAAATTACATATTGTCAGTTTATAGTTTTTAAACAGGTTATTGTTCATAGGTGTTGAGTTTTACACTTTCAGGTATTAGGTAAGTATTACAGTTGTCATTTATAGATTAACTAAGGATTGGGTGCTTTGCTCAAGGAAAACAAAATTCCAGCAATTGCTATAATTCAACTTAGATGCAATGATTTCTTTCTACATATCAGTTGCCAATATATTTATATTTTTCTAAGGCCACTATAATCAAAATAAATGTTACCTCAAAAGACAATATCACTGATCTTTCAATTTTTAAAATTTAACGGGCAACTTGAGCCATAGGAAATGGTTTTCTAAAATGCAGCCTTTAGTATCTCTCCAGGAGATGAAAATTACCAGTTCCTGGTTAAGATTTTGAGAAGTTTGTCAAATATCGCAAATTCTGATGGACTACATTTAGGGACCATTTTTGTGAGGCACGCAGGGTAATTTCACATTAAGACTTTAGCATTATTAAATGACTTGTTAAAAGACTATGGAGTAAGATGTACATTTTGTACATTTTGAAGAAGTTCGGAATGCAGAAAGTTCAGAGCACTGGCATACTAGGAAGAATGTCGTGTCTGTTATAATTGGAGCCCCATATTCTGCAGAAGTCAGGTTAAAGATACTGAACCCAGTGCATACCATGCTAAACCTCAACCTGTACATCAAGGGAACTGCGCAGTGTTAATTCTGAATTTGAAATTGTTTATTCTAACTTCTTTGAGAAGTGTCCTTTTGTCTATTCAGTTGCTGCATTTTCTGCTTTGAATTATAGTCCCCTTTTACTCTTTACATTACTGTTGATTTTACTCAGGTTACTCACGTGGCAGTCTTCCTACAGCCCGCGGGCCCTGTGAGGTTCTAACGGTCACCACCATAAATGACTCACAATCATGATTCAGTTGTGGTTAAATGTTATTTTGACTCTTACTCTTGAAGAGTTCATGTTTCAATGGAAAGGTTTTTTAAAGACTGCAAGGATTTCTTCTGATCTGCTTCTTAATTTTCAAAAGCCACGCTTTTTAACCTTTTGATATTTTCTTTGCAAAGATTTTCTGATCTCTCTGTCCTCAATCCTGCCAAGTCTTTTTCTATCATACACACACAGTAGTGAGAATTGTGTAGGGTGGTGAGATTCACCAACACGTGTCATCATTTTCACCCTAAAGTCATTGTTCTTATAGAGGGCCTACCCATGTTATCTACTATACAGTTTTAATAGAATATGTTTTATATTGTTTTAATTGAATATATTTTAATCAAATAAATCTCAAATGTCATCTCTATGCCAAAAGTAGGTTTAATGATAGAAGTGAAAGTGTTGGTTTTCAACAGTATAGTGTTTCACTGAAATCTCTGAATATCTCAAACTTGAGTTGCCAAAGCAATACCTGTCAAAAGTGTAAATGCAGGAAGAATGTTAGATTAGAGATGCTTTTATTTCATCTCTTCTTAATGGATTATTCTTCACATTATTTTTATTATTTTTCTAACAATTTAATGTACATATTTATTAGCAATGAGAAATTTTTTTATAGTTGGAGTTATTACAAAGAACTAAACATGAAATATATTTTCAATACTTGACAAACTATTGAAAAGAAATGTATATAGCCATCTTCAGCCTGTTTCAAAATAGAGATTAAAGGTTGCTCCTTTGTGCTTCTGTTGTACCTTGATTATGCAATCAGGCTGGCATGCAACATATTTTTTGGAAAATATATATATAGTGTTTATATTTCTGTTTATATAGAAACACTATATATATATATAGTGTTTATAATTCTGATTTTCTTCTACTTCTTTGCTTCTTTAATTATTGCTACCAAATACAATGGTTGTTGCATAGTAGGTATCAATACATTTTCTTTTGCAATGTGTGATACCATTTTTGTTTTCCTTATATATTTTAACTTTTGTCTCCATAGAAATCTCCAAATGATTGTGGGAGGCACATTCAAAATTACAGTGTGACATCTTGATATATCTAGATGAAGTTTTTACTATAGAAAGTTGTACATAACAACTCACTCTTTTAATGATTTTAAGTGAACTGTTCAGTAGCATTATGTGCATTGTTATTGTTCTACAGCCATCATCATCATCCTCTGTCTTTAGAACTATTTTCATTTTAAACAAAACTCCGTATCCATTAAACTATAGCACAGTAGTGCCCTTTTCTCCAGCCGTAATATAAACAGTTCCATTGTATGTGCACCCACTTTTTTATCCACTTATCTTCAGATGGATCCTTGTTTTGCCTTGTTTTTGGTGTCATTCAAAAGTCAGTGCCAAATAAAATGTAATGAAGTTTTTCCCAATGAATTGTTCCAGATTTTTTCAGCGTTTTCCTTATGTTGAAATCTTTCATTCATTTTGAGTTAATTTTGTAATGATATAAATTAAGAGTCCAGTTACTTTTTTTCTACATGGGAGACTGCCTTAGTCCATTTATTGTAAAGACTGTCATTTCTCCACTGAATAGTCTTCACATCTGTGTTAGTCACCTTCCTGATGCTGGGACAAAATACCTAATCCCCACAATTTAAGGAGATGTTTCAGAGGGTGAAGTCCATATTCCTGCAAAGGCAGAAATGGTATGGTGGAGGAGAATGACGGTAGCCAGGAAGCAGAGAGAAGGGAGGAGCCAGGGACAGGACTATACCCTTGTAGTCCTGTCCCTGAGACCCACCTTACACCCTGGTCCTACCTCCTAAAAGTTTATAAACTGGTTAATGGGTTAATTCATTGATAAGTCTATCGTGCCCGTGATCTAGTCGCCTTCTAAAGCCCAGCCTCTGAACAAATCAAACATTTTAGTGACATTTTAGACCTAAACTAAACCATCTTTTACTGAATATAATTTGGCTATATGCTCAAAAGTTTTTTCCATGATCTGTATTGTCTTCCATTGGTCAAGATGTATATTTTTCTGCTCATACCACAGTCTTGATTACTACAAATTTATAGTTTTGAAACTAGCAGGTATGAGTTCTTTGACTTTGTTTTGTTTCAAGACCTTTTACAGTTGATACTCACTTGAAATTTTAGCTTGGATATTCTTACTTTTTAAGACAAAAAGCCATTGTGATTTTGACAGATGTTATGTTACCTTTGTAGATCACTTTGAGTAATACCCACATCTTAAAAATAGTCTCCTATTCCATGGATAGGAAATGTCTTTCTACTTGCATCTTCTTTAATTTGTCTTACCAGTATTTGTTTTTGGTTGTTTACAGTGTAGTAGTTTTTGCCTCCTTAAATTTATTTCTGAGTATTCCATTATTTTTATGCTATTATAAATGAAATGCTTTGCTTAATTTACTTTCAAATTGTACATTGTTCATGTGTAGAGGTACAACTGATTTTCCATTTGACTTCGCATCCTGTAATTTATTTCCATCCATTCATTAATTCTAATATTTTTGTAGAAACTTTAGCTTTATATAGAAGATTATTCCTACATGAACAGAGATAACTATTCCTCCTTTCCAATTTGAATTCATTTTGCACACTTTCCTTCACTAATTTTTCTGAACAGTGCTTTCAATTCTTTATTGGGTAGAAGTGTCAAGAATGGGCACCCTTGCCTTGGCCCTGAT